GGCCGGGCTTGGCCAAAAATGGAGAGTGTTTGACGGCAGGAAACGGGTTGCGGCAGCAATGCAATCCCAGCTGCACGCAGCAGGGCCGAGTAGCCCAAGGGTGCGGCACAACGTCCATGGGTGCTGGAGTCATCCCTGGCCCAGGGTGCGGGCAGCAGCGACGCTGGGGGGGGCATCCCCCCGCTTCCCATCATGAGGGCAGGGAGGTGCCAAGGGACGGCCAAGGTAGCGAGGTAAAAGCAGAGAGAGGAACCGCTTTGTCTTCCCCATGGGAAGTGCCGCTTGCTCTGGGTGCACAGAAAGCAACAAGGTTTAGCTCTGCTGTGCCAGGGCTCGTGCTGGGATGAATTTAAGTGTGGGTCGATGTTTTTCTGTAAGCCAGAGATGGTGTGGGGGGGAGCAGGACCCTTGTTGCTAGTGGCCCCCCCACTCTTCTAGAAGGCTGCACAGCACACGGGGTGCATGCCACATTGGAGATGGGGCTCCGGGGGAGGGTGCAGAGGGCCACCGCAGCCTGCTGGGGCCCTGGCACCTGGCTGGCAGCAGCTGCTGTGATGCTACTTCTGCTCCTGAGATTTCAGGAGTGGCAAAAGACTGCTTGGGGGTGCACAGGCAGGGAGAGCAAACGGTGGCTGGGGTGCCTAACCTGGGTCTCTCCATGCAGATGCTTTGCTGGCAGAACTGGAGCAGAGCTCTCGCCCGGCCTCTGAGGACCACGTGCTGCAGGCTCCAAGCTCCTGCAAGCAGGACCCAGCCACAGCCAGGCCCCCAGCTGCCCAGGGCCGTGAGCCACCTCCCTCGGCCACACTGAAGGTAACACCTCAACATGGTGGGGCTGGCAGCTGAGACCTGCTCAGCTCGTGACAGGGGTGGTGGTACCAAGCAGGCAGCAGAGAGTGCCAGGGAAGCATCCTGGGGGGTCAGCCACAAGGGTTTGTCCTTCCAGGTGCAGCCATCACCTCGGGCTCAGGTTCTGGGAGAGGCTTTGAAGACTGTGTACAGGTAAAACATGGCCGTGGGAGGGCAAAGCCACCCAGGAGTGCCCTTCCAGGGTCACCTGGGACACGTCCTCCGGCAGCACCTGGCCTCCTACACATGCCTCACAAAAAATGGTCCTTCCATGAGCTGGGGCAGGGGGGTTGTATCCTGCATCCCTGCAGCACGGCTGGGGTGAGGGCTGGGCTCCCAGCAGCCCCCTCCCTGCCACATGTGCCTCCCCCATGCCAGCACGTCTCCAGGGATGTCCCCTGTCCCCTGCTGTGGTCTGTGGGGAAAGGGTAGCGTCTCACAGGGGTGGAGGGATCTCAGTCCCGGGCACCCTCTAGCCTTGGGGTGGGAGCCGCTGCATCTCTCACTCTCTGCCATACCCATCAGCCCCATACCAGCCCCGCAGCCGCTGCTTCCCTCGTCCCCACCCACAGCAGCTGCCCAGCAGCTGGACGAGCTCCTGGCCAACCTAGGCCACCTGCAGAACAAGGTGAGCCTTGTCCCTTGGGGAAGGGAGGTCGGGGGCCTGGCCCTCACCCATCCCTCACCGTCCTCCTTCCCAGCAGCTGGCGGCTGCGGGGCACGAAGCCAGGGTGCCAGCGGAGCCCGAGCCCTCGCTGGACACCATGCTGGGCAGCCTCACCCGGGACCTGCAGGAGCTGGGCATCACAGCTGTCCCCACTGGCACCTGCGCTGCCTGCCGCAAGCCCATTGCTGGCAAGGTGAGCCCTGTGCTGCCATGCCAGCCCCCCTCCTCTCGGCATCCCCTGGAGCTGCTCTCACCGGCCCCCGCCTCCTCGCAGGTGCTCACGGCCCTGGGCAAGACCTGGCACCCCGAACACTTTGCCTGTGCCCGCTGCGGGGAGGAGCTGGGCGGCCAGCCCTTCTTTGAGCGAGGCGGGCGGGCATACTGCGAGGAGGACTACCACCAGGCCTTCTCCCCGCGCTGCGCCTACTGTGCTGGCCCGGTCCGCGAGGTAAGACCCCTGGTCCCCCAGCCACCCCCAGCCACCCCCAGCATCTCACCTTCCCTCTTCTTGCAGAAAGTCCTCACGGCCCTGGACCAGACGTGGCACCCCGAGCACTTCTTCTGCGCCCACTGTGGGAAGGCGTTCGGAGACGACGGTAAGTCCCGGGGTACAGAGGTGGGGGTCCTGTCTCCACTACCCCCACCCCAGTATCCGCCCCACAGCTCAGCCCTCGAACCCCTTGCCCCATCCCACATCCCCCCTACGGCCTTGCCTTTGCCTCCTGTCCCGGGCACTGCCATGGCTGTGCCCTGCTGCGAACCTCCGCCCGGTGTGTGCCCACCCAGACACTCTCCCCGCAGGTTTC